TTCAGTGCAGCTTTGGTGCTCACTGAGTCTGGCCCCTGAGTGTGTCCCTTATGGATCTGAGGAGTTGTAATCTGGATGGTCACACGGACCACTGGGTACACTGGCTTTTGGATCTCTAAGGCGGTGCTAATTTAGCCTTTTCCTGAGGCTACCCAGCAGGAGCTACATAGAGGTCTGTAGAACCTCTTCCTTGTTTGGGTTTTGGAGGTGCACAGATGAGGCACAGCTGTGAAGCAATGTAAGCTGCTGTGGGGCCTTGGGCCTTCTTTTGGATCTTCTGGGTCTCTCTGACCCAGCTGCAGTTTTTTAGGTAATTTTAGATCTCAAAGGGCCAGCCCATTCATATGCAAAAGCCTCTGCCGCAGCTTGGGTGGGGCGGGGTCTCAGGGAATCAACAGGGTGGGGCAAACAGCTATGGCTGATCCTCAGCCCTGTCCTAAAAGGCCCCCAGGTCTCAGTGTCCCGAGGTAATCACTGCAAGCACTTCTGAGAGAAAGCCGCCCTCAAGTTCTGCCCGCTGCCAGACAGTCCAGTTTCTCCCCGTATGAGTCTGGGTCCCCAGAGACTCGCCCAGAACTGGAGTCCAGAGCAGTCTGGAGCTTGTGACTCCCTCCCAATTGAAAAAGAAACTGACAGGGCATCCTCCATTGCCAGCCCTTGCCGCGTGTGCCTCCATACCTCTGCACTTTACTTCCGCACCTCCTCTGGGTCTCAGTGTGCTTTTCTCTCCTTCTAGTTGTAGAATTTCCACTCAGCCAGCCTTCCTGTGGTTCTGGATGATGTCTGTTTTGTCTTTAGTTGTAGTTTTGAAGTGGTTGTGCGAGGCAGCAATTTCAGGTGTTTACCTATGCCGCCATCTTGGTTTTTCCCCTCTTAGGTCTTTTGTTTCCCAAACAAAAATGATGGCAGCCAAAGGTACAGTGGCACCAGTAAAAAATTCTTCCTGCATTATGTTGTCTGGAACCTGGTCTTTATGTCATGAGAACTTCATTCTCTAGTCTACATGCAAATGAGCAAGAAATTGGAATCACAGTAATTTTCAGAATAGAACCTCAAATAGAACTTTAAAAGTCAGCAAAATGTAACATCCCAGGGCTGTGCTCTAATTCATTGCTGAAGCCAAGTAGACCTTCCACATTCACATTCCAGAAATGGCCCTGCCCCTGCCCCCATGCATGGCCTGGAAAAATGCTTCTTATCCTTCAAGGCTCAGCTCAAATGTCATCTCCTTTATGAAGTCCTTTCTAGCCCCTCAGGCAGAATTAACTAATCTTTCTCTGTGCTCCCCCAGAACTTTGTATTAGCAATGCTAGTATAGCATTTACCACGTTCTTTCAGTTAGTCATATAAGTAAGGTCATGGAGGTTAGAGACCTGTCTTATTCATAAATCTTTTTATCTGCATGTCCCCAGCCTAGCACAGATCACATTTCATCAAATCTAAAATCCCATTGATTTTAAGATAGACCGTTATTTTATGAACCATTAGGAAAGAAAAAAATCTGACAATTATACTATGACATGCCAGTGATTTCAAGATGTGTCACAAATTCAGGGATTTTTAAGTGTGTCTTAGAAGTTATTAACTATGGTAATAAGTGATCAGCTAATGTTTCTAGAACTGGATTGTAAACCCAAGGTACAGCAGATATTTCTATAGCCATGTGACAGCCCATGCTTCCTAGTAAGGAAGGAACTGGTATTTGGTGGGGATTAGTATGCAATTGCATTGCTGATTTCAAGAAAATCCCAACAGATTAAAGGGATGAGTAGCCTAACGTGCCATTCTTGTTAAAAATAAAAATACCTCCACATCTCCAATTCGATATACTAAAAGGGACAGTGACAATGTATTCTGATCAAAATTAGGAGCCACCTAATACAACAAGTGAGTGTGATTACGAAGACAATGGGACAGACTATTAGCATCTGCCTTAATTATGGTTCTTTAAGCCACCACAACCCACTGCTGTTCCCATCTACATAGGACAAGGAACCACCTAGCTTTCTCCCAGCATATTGCAGCCCTGCTTTTGAAAATAAAAGCATCAAAACATATGAACCCCCAAGATCCAAACTGTTGGCTCTGTTACCTTGGCTTCCTTTTCTCCTTAGCTCTCTGGATTTGGTGATTGTCTATTATCTCCCTGGCTAGTATCTGGACCTAGGTTTCCATAAAGTGGGCTTTGCTGGGGCTCAATATCCCAGGCTGTCTCAACAAGAATCTATTTTCCATCTTGCTGCTGTGGCTCAGGTGGTTGAGCATCATACTATGAACCAGGAGGTCACGGTTTGATTCCAGGTCTTGGTGCATGCCTGGGTTTCAGGTTTGATCCCTGGTAGGGGGTCTGCAGGAGGCAGCTGATTAATGTTTCTTTTAAAAATGTATATATATTTTTATTGATTTTTGTAGTATAGATGTCCCCCATTTTTCCCCGTTTACTTACCTCTGCTCAGCC